TCACACAAAGGAAATGCTGCGATTCCACTGATACAAACTACCTGGAGTAGTCAGTTTCATAGAGATAGAAAGTAGAATTGTGGGTGCCAGGGGCTGGGGGGGTAGACGTTCCATGGGTACCAAGTTTCAGGTTTGCGAGATGAAGCTGCACTTAAGCGTGCCTGGACTTTAGACTGAGCTGCAATTCTACTGGAAAAAAACTTAACACTTAAAAATGATTATGAGGGCAAATTTTATATTATGTGTACTTTACCACAATTAAAATTTAAAAAACTTTTTTTTTTTTTTTTTTTTGGTAGGCTCCATGCCCGGCATGGGACCCAACGGAGGGCTTGAACTCACGACCTTGCAATCAAGATCTGAGCTGAGATCAAGAAGAGTCCAATGCTTGGGACGCCTGGGTGGCTCAGTCGGTTGAGTGGCCGACTTTGGCTCCGGTCATGATCTCACGATTTGTGGGTTCGAGCCCCGCATCGGGCCCTGTGCTGACAGCTCAGAGCCTGAAGCCTGCTTTGGATTGTGTGTCTCCCTCTCTCTCTACCCCTCTTCTACTTGCACTCTGTCTCTCTTTCTCTCTCAAGATAAACATTTAAAAAAATTAAGAAATAAAAAAAAAGAGTCTGACGCTTAACTGACTGAGCCACCCAGGTGCCCCTAAAATAAAAAAAAAAATTAAAGTTGAGATTATAAAGAACTGGAATGAGTGTCTTTAGGAAGAAGTAGTGAGCTTCCTGTCACCAGGGTTATTTAAGGAGAGGCTACAGAGACACTTGGCTGAGATACAGCATAGAGCATTTAAGTGTTGAATAAGAGAAATAAATTGGGTCATCTTTAAGATCCTTTCCTTCCCAGAAATGTATAAATTCCTAGCTTAAAGAATGGCAGAGCTGTGAGACTTCTTGAAGGTCAGCTCCTACAGTGGTTTTTAAATCAGGGTGCACGTGCTCATCGCCACCCCAGGACTTGGGCTGTGGTTATTCCCCTGTGCCTGAAATGCTCTTTCCTTGACTCACTCCTGGCCCCGTTCAGGTCTCTCTGTCCATGCGCTAGCTCGTTGGAGAGGCCTTGCCTGACCCCCTCTCTCAAAATTAGACTGGGCTCGGTGTCCCTGCCCAATTCCTTACCCTGCCTGTTTGTCTTCGGAGCACGTGGTGTTTCTCGCTGACAGCAAGGAGTTATTTTAGTACCCCGGCTCCAGAACATGGCTGGCGCATGGGAGGCAGTCAGTGCACATGGCGGGAATGGAGAAAGCCTGGTGACAGAGGAGGCAGCGCCCACAGAGTGAGACAGCGGGCTCTCCAGCCTGGAGTCCTGTCCCGAGGTCCCCCACACCCTGGGCTGGCTCCCCTCTGACCGCTGCTGCCGTACTGTAATGGTTTGGGCCACCGCTCCCCCCACGAGGGCCCCCAGCTCAGCTGAGTGCAGGCAGGGACATGAAAGCGGCACCGATGATGGTTTGGAACTAACACAAGGGAAGTAAACAGGCGAGGACGTGGCCGGGCAACCTGGACAGTGAACTATGGCTGAGGGCGGCCCCTGCAAGGAGTGACCTCACCTTCCCAGGAACTACTCAAGCACACGGAGACCCAGGGAGAAGAAGGGACAGGGACAAGCCCTCTCCAGCGTGCCTGAGGCTGGCCTTCCACTGCCCTTCCCTGACCGAGGTCCTACTTCTCCCTTAGCTGATTGGAGGGGAAATACTACCCTCGCCCGGAAGAGAGACCACTAACCACAGAGTTCCAGGGAGGAACCACCCTAGGGTCCCGGGGGCAGCTGTGAGACCGAGGTGTGCAATGCAGTGGGGAAGGCAGAGGGGCACTTTGCCCCTCTGTGGGCAGAGAAGAACGGAGCTGCTGTGGGCAGGCCATCTCTCTCTGCCTTCAGATGCTAGAGGTTCCCGCGGCTGGGCCTCTGTGGACCTGTGTCCAGGAAGCTGTAGCGGCAAGCTTCCCCTCTCTGGCCCTTCCGGGCATCCCTCATGGGTAGGGTCTGCTTGAGCTGGGAGCCGAATCCAGGCTTTGCTGGTAAAGTGTCTTAAATCGTTTTATAAACTCAGCAAGAAAGACACCGCAAAGTGCACGAATCAGTGAGTACCCACGCTCCAAGCACGTTCCCATACGTCCCCTCTGTTAAGCGGCATCACCAGCCCATCACCGGCAGCACGCGCTGCTCCTTCCGTTTTACCGATGAGGAGACTGTGACTCAAGTCATGCATCTAGTGAGTGGAAGAGCCAGGATTCCCCCTGGGTCTCCAGAACCAATCCGGAGCTGCCTTCGCCAAGCCCAGCCGCCTGGAGAGTGTGTGCTGTATTTCTGGAGGGGGCTCTGGCCAACCCCTTCCCTGTGTGGTGGACTTCTCCATCCCTTCTAATACCTGGAGTCAGAAATGGGAGGTTTGAGACCTGCCTCCCACCAACTGTGTGGCTTTAGGAAAATTCTTTAACCTTTCTTTTCTATTTATTTTTTAATGTTTATTTATTCTTGAGAGAGAGCGAGCGAGCAGGGGAGGGGCAGAGAGAGAAGGAGACACAGAATCCGAAGCAGGCTCTAGGCTCCAACCTGTCAGCACAGAGCCCGACATGGGGCTTGAACCCACAAACTGTGAGATCATGACCTGAGCCGAAGTCAGACCCTCAACCCACTGAGCCACCTGGGCGCCCCATCCCTTACCCTTTCCTATTAAGGGTTTCTGTTCTCTCCTCCACTAACTGGAGATACTGACCCTTGGTTGGCTCAGCTCATGGCATTCTTTTTCAACATCCATGTGACAATGTCTATGAAGGGTGCTGTGGTATTTACTGCACTACACACCATAACATGAAGCATCACAAATGCATGTGCAATTATGACATATATACATGGAGCACAGGTATTTTTCTAGGTATTGTGTTGAATGAATGGATCCTGGCCGTAGAGATGCTTCTGGGACCACGCTTCTCGGCTCCTGGAGTTAGAGACCCTCCTGAAGCAAGAAAACCAGAAGCTGAGGGAGGGCTTTTCGGCCCTGCCCACACCCATCATCCATCCCTACAAGGAAGGTCTTGATACACAACAGGGGCATGGAGTTGGGGCCGGAGGGAAGTGGGAAGAAATGGAGGGAGCTCTGCACCGAGAGCGGGATTTGGTGGGGGTTAGAAAAATCATTCAGTGTCTCTTAGAAAAGAAGACATACTTAGCCTGCCAAGACCCAAGTTTGTTTCTGCGGCAGCCTCAGGATGCCAAAGGCTTGAAGGGCCTCTCTTGGTCCCTGGGGCCATCCCAATTCCGCAAGAGTAATTGCAATCAATACAGGTTACGGGTTACAGCTCCATCCAATATAGATTTACAGAAACAATGTGGGCAGCCTGCAGCTCAGAGGTGAGCAGCACAGCTCAACCATAGGCAAGCTCTTCCCTCCTAGGCCGTCTTCCCCACGGGGAGGGGTGGGTGGGGGTAGTTGATGCTTCTGCTGGTAGAATCAGCCCTGCCTGGGGGTCCGGCACGCAGTCGCCTGCACGAAGCTCTCAAGGCCAGCTCTGTGCCTAGCTGCTTCCTTTTTCCCTTCCTGTGCTTCCCAGTGATTGTGAGACCCAGGGGTACCTGCCAGCCTGGGTTTGAAAAGCCCCAGGGAAGCCAAGGCCCACTCCGCCTCCTCTCATCCTTCGGACTCTGGATTCCCAGGGTTGGAAGTCCTCCGCCCCAAGCCCCCAGGAGAGATTTGCAGCATGGTGGACAGCACATGGCATTTGAGTCAGGAATCTGGATTGAGGTCCCAGCTCCAGTGCTGGCTGGCTCTAAGTCCTAGAGTCTCCCTGCTATGGGCTGAATTGTGTCCCCACGGAATTCCGATGTGAAGCCTTAATCACTGATGGATTGTATTGGGAGATAGGGCCTTTAAAGAGGTAATTAAGGCCAAGTGAGATCTTAACAGGTGGGGCCCTAATCCAATATGACTGGTATCCTTATAGGTAGAGGAAGAAGTGCCAGAGACATATGCACACAGAAGGAAGACCAGGGGCGGGGGACACAGTGACAGGGCAGCCCATCTGCAAGGCAAGAAGAGAGGGCTCAGGAAAAACCAAACGTGCCACTCTGGTCATTTTGTTATGGAATCGCTAGAATACGAATACGCCCCTCATCCAGACATGCTGTTCTCTGAGGGCTCTTCCAGCCCTAAGATTCTAGATAGAGTTGGGGCGAGCCGGTCCTGACTGTCATCGGGTATACCACACAGGGTGGGTATAGACAGTGAGAGCACAAGGGGTGGGGAGAGACTGAGCCAAGACCCCCTCAGTGGGCATCAGGTGCCAGGAGCAGAGGGAGACATTGTGCAGGGATGGGCAGGGGGCCGCCCCGGGGAGTGGGCCTTTGATCCCAGGTAGGGGCTCATCTGCACTTGCCATTAAAGGCCCAAATCTGCTCCACCGCACGTGACGCTCGAGGAGACGGAGGCACAGAGGGCCAGGCAGCGAGTCTGGGCCCACTGCCCTTCCCCCACGGAACTGAAGCCAGGCAGGGCACACACACTGGGGGCGTGAGGAGGACTAGATGAATGGGGGGTAGGGCTTCTGCTCTGAGGCTCGTACCGGGTACGTGGGGCCAGAAACTCGGCCCCGCCTCTAGCTGGCAGGGGGCACAGGCGACCACACAAGCTAGGGCTCCAGTGGGGAGCTGAGCCGGAGAGCTTCGCAGTCCCGTGACCAGCAGGTGGCCGGTCCGCCTGCCTGCTTCCTGGCGCAAGGGCTCCCAGGAGCTGGGGAAGGCAGCAGGGCCTCATGCTGGGCCCCCAGATATGACGCCAGGCTGGGCTGGGGCGTGGCTTCTGATGGGTGGCACCATGTACCACGTGTGTTCCCAGGGGCCTTGGGAGCAGGCCTGTGCCCTTCTGTCTCCACCACTGCCCCTGCAGGTGAGAGGGTGCGTGTCACGGAGGACACGGAACTATGGAGTGGTGCTGACCTTATCCTATTCTCACGAGGGGGACTCAGACTCAGTTTCCCCTGTAAGGCTGGAGGGTTCCAGAGCTGATCACAGGGGTCATTTTTCCCCTAGGCTGAGTCAAGCCGTGGCCAGGCTTAGCTCTAGCACGTGGCTAACTTTGAACTAGGTGCATGGAGGCAGTCTCATCTCCACGCCTCACACCTCCACCCAGCCATGGACTTCTGAGAAGGGCTGAGACTTTGCTTGCAAGAGTACCGTGGCCTAGAAATGTCATCTGGGGGGGGTCCCTCTTCCAGAAACACTAATGCAGAGCAGGCCTGGTGGGGCTGGAAAGAAGAAACCTGGTTTTGAATTTGCTGGGTGACTTCTGACAAGTTGCAGTGCCCCTCTGGACCCGTTTCCCTAAATGATGAAGGAGGGGATTGAACCATTTGGCCTCGAAGTTATCTCCCGAGCCTCCCTTCCCTTGTGATTCTATGATTTCTCTCTACTTTGCTGGACAAGGGTGAGTGTCTCTCCTCTTTTTAACCCCATCTCGGTCAGAGCTCTGAGGAGTGCTGAGCAAAGGAGCCAGTGTGGACTCAACCCTCCAGGGGAGGAGTCATTTACACACATACGACAGCCCCTGACCCCCACCGTCGCCCTAGACTGATCATGATGAACTGCTACCACGCGGGAGTCCCCATTTCTGCTCTGTAAGGGAGATTGGAGATTGGCCAGGTCCTCGATCTTTATCTCTGCCTTTGGCCTCTACAGGAGATGAGGTCGCTGGAGGGACAGGAATCTGAGGTCTCCTGAGGCCCAAGGAAGCTGATAGCACGGTGGAGCTGAAGAGGCCCCATCAGGATTCAGAAGGGCTTTGATTCGAAAGTCTCCCTTCCTTCTAGAAGGTGCTGGGTGAGCCACTGGACCTCGGAGAGCCTGTCTCCTGTGAAAATTAGACGGGTCAACGAATAGACCCAATGCAGTACCTGGTGCACAGGAGGGAGCCGGTTGGAAGTTATCGAATAACGGAATGAGTTAATGAATAGACACATGCATAACTCTCATAAGCGGCAGGGGAGGGGGCACCCGCCGCCTGACCTGGGCCTCAGCCTCCAAGCGCAGGGTGCTCCGACCATTCCCACCACCTCCAGCTGCCCACAGGCTGGCCTCCTTAGCAGGCGGGAGGGCGTGGACTCCCAGGGAGGTACCAGGCTCTGCTTCCTGAGGCCCCCGGCAGATTGACCGCTCAGGGCACCTGAGACCTAGAGGGGCATCAGCACTGTCACTGGAGCACCCCGGGGACCTGCAGGAGGTGCGGGGATGGAAGGGCTCGGGCCGGGGAACCAGCCGGAGAGCCTGGGCAGAGGGAGACAGAAAAGCAGTGGCCGGCTTCCCCTCTCCCAGAGTCCTTTTCTCCAAATACAGCTCTCTCCTTCTCTACCCCAGGATTAGCACACATCTCTCATTCTCCTATCGCAACAAGATTTTATTTCTAATTATGCTGTAATAAAACTGGAGCACTCCCAGGCTTCCTTTCAAATGACTTGTACACACACTGCCGATCGGATCCTCCTCAGCCCCATTGTAATAGCATTTCCCTGACATTCATTAGACATGCATGAGAGGGGCGCTTTAAGAATAGAATTGCATTTAAATGGATTTGCTGAGAGAGGAAGATGAAAAAGAGAGAGGCGAGGGGGGAGGAGGGAGAGGGAGAGAGGTCTGTTGAACAAACTACAAAAACAAGATACCATAATAACAGGGTGCTGAAATAAGCCTCTTTCTTCCCCGTCCTCCTCCGGCTGCACATGGCAGAGCCCAGCCCGAGAGGCGGCCTCCCAGCCTCCCCGGAGCCCCCACCCCCACTTTTCTGTTACCCACTGGGGGGGCTTCATAGCTCCTCGCTGCTCCATGTGTCAGACGCTCGTGGTGCAATAGAAATAACTATTATTACGATTTGGGAAAGCGGTCTTGCTACTACAGAACCCCGATAGCCAGGCGGCCGGCAGGGAGGGGGACCCTGTGTCCTCGGGCCTGGGGGGGGAGGTGGATGGGGACAGCCTCCCTAGAGCTCTTCTCGAAGGTGTGGCTCTCAACTCCTGCTCTCCACCGTCCCCTCTGTGACCGTGCTGTGCCTTGAACCCCCCAGGGGCCACTGAGTAGCCAGGATTTTTCTTTCACCTGGGGTGGCTCTGCAGTGTTGGACAGAGGAAGAGACCCGTTCTGACCCCCTGGCCCTCGGAGGCCCCACTCACCTCCCCAGGGAGCACCTGCTCCGTGTGCGTGTCCCGTGAGGGGCCATCTCTGCATCCCCACCCCCTACTAGAAGTCTACACCCGCGCGTGGCCTCATCTCACTCATGCATCTCACTGTAGCCACAGCCTCTTGAAATGGACATCTGATCCCACCGTAGACCGTCCCGAGGCTTCCTGTTTCTCTCAGGATACAGACAAAACCCTTAACAGGGCAGCCCAAACCCACCATCCTCCCCCTGATCCCACTCAGGGATATCTTGGTTCTAACTCCGGCCACGCCGGCCCGCCTCTGCTCCTCCAGAATCTCCCCTCCTTCCTCCCCCAAGCCTGGCTACTTGCCCCCTTCCTTCCTAGAGTTCACTCTGACCACCCCCCCGTCGGAGCTCGGCTCACACTCCCTCCCTCGGGACGACCTTCCCCATGAGTGTCTCGTGTCCTGACCTCCTGCACACGGTCACGGCTGTGATGGAGTGCGCGCTGAGTCACCAGAAGCCCAGAGGCCTGGCAGGCTCCTTGAGGGTCCCGGCCACCCCCGTAGGCCCAGCGCTGGCTCCGTGGTGGAGGCTCAGAACGGGACGGATGCTGGGCACCCTGCTAGGGGCTCTTCCCGATATGCTCTCTCATTCAATCCTTGCTACGGCCTTCCTGGGGTAGAGGTTTTTCCCTCCCCTCTAATTCGCGCCGAATCACTGAGCTGGGGCTGTCCAAATCCAAAGCCTTGCTTTTGCTATGCCGCTTCCTTGTGCACCGCACAGCCCTGTATGTCCCCGCCAACCCCTGCCCACGGAGAAGGCCACCCGCTTCCACTGCACCCCAACAAGGCCCTTCTCGAACCCTCTTTCTTCTGGAAGTCCTCTTGGAAAGCCCAGCTAATGCAGACCTTCGTGCCTTCCCCGGACAGCGCACGGCGCCTACACCCTGTGAGGCCACACCCTAGGACGCAGGGGGGGCCTCAGGTCTCACAGTTAGATGGTTCCTTAACTGGCCCATGGGAGCCGTTCCGGTATTCCCAGATCAAATGTAGATTCCTTCAAGATACTGTACGTCACTCTTCTGATCCCCTGGGGCACCCGGGCCAGGGCTGGGAATGTGCTACGGGGCACCGGATCTGTCACCAGAAGCGCAGGCGCTGTCCTATAGGGCTGTGTGACCTGGACACAGGTCCCGGAGAGGAAGCGTCAGCCCCAGCCTCCTCATCTACGGTAGGGGCTCGGTGAGCTGCCTCAGAAGCAGCGCCTCAAGGGCGCTCCCCTTCTCTGTCCCAGTCCTTCCTCCAGACTGTCTGGTGACCGCTGCGTGGGTAGAGGCAGGATGAGGAAGCTGGTCCTACGGTGTCCCAGAAGGGGTCTGGCTGCAAGGGGCATCGTGCTGTGACTTCTTGAAGCTCTGTGATGTGGCTCCGAGGGCACTGGGGTGGCCATCCGTCTGTCTTTCTGGCATTTGCCTCCTGACTCGCCACCCTCCCCTCCCAGTGCCTGCTTGGTTCAGAGGCCTCCGGTGTCTACATGCTGCAGCGAGAAGACACTCCCGTGATGAGTGGTCAAACCCCTAAAGGCCAAGAACAGCCAGCAGGTCCATTCCCTCTGCCTCCCGGTCCCTGGTATGGCCCGAGCCAGGCACTTGCTAAAGGCCAAGTGCATGCCAGTGAATGAGACCATGACCTCCATGACACTTGGGCTGCTTGCCTGTCCATTACTCTGCGCTCAGTTTTGGGCTCAACATCTGCATATGGTGGTGCTCAATGATATTTGTTGAATAAATGAATGGATGAATGAATGCATGAATACATGAATCTCAACCGTTTTACCTCTGTGTTTAAGTACTCAGGCTCTGAAGTCAGACAGATCTGGGTACTATGCGGTGATCCTCTGCAGGTTACCTAACCTCTGTGACTCCATTTCCTCATCTATAAAATCGTGCTAATAAGAGTACCGATCTCAGAGCTGGATCGGTCGCAAAAATTGAAGTGCCTGGCCCAGTGCCTGCCAGTAACTGTTCAATAAATAACAGCTCTCACTGTTACAACTACGCAGCTTCTGGGGAAGGAGAATCTACCTAATGCTGACTTCGAGCTACTCAGGGACTTGGAGGGACCACTCGTGTGGGTGATTCTGGGTTAATCCTGCGTCCCATTTCCCTCTTCGAGAACCCTCGAAAATCCTCTGACATTGCTCAAAGAGCAGAGGCTAGCCTGTTGTTTTGAACACCTACCTTTTTTATTTACAGGCTCATCACCCTGCCTCTATGACACCCGTGTGATGCCAGGCAGGGATGTGTCAGGACAGGAAGGGATGCCCACAGTCCCATCACCGTTTGCATCTTACCAGCCCTGGAAGTGAGTCTGTCTTACTGAGATGATGAAATGCGCCAGTGTTCTGCCCCAGCTGTATCGGTCCACACTTCTCCCCAACACTTCAATTGCAGCATCTTTAAGCTCTAAATTACCTCCCACCTGTTGGGAGCCTCCCCTCCCCACCCCAGGCCTCCCCCTCCTCCAACCTGTGGTATCTGTACCCCTTACTAGGCTTTCACCACACACGTGCTTTTTGTTATTCATCTTAAAAATGCAAGGCAACTTAGTGGGTTAAGCATCTGACTCTTGATTTTGGCTCAGGTCATGATCTCAACAGTCATGAGATTGAGCCCCAAGTTGGGGTCCATGCTGCGCTTGGAGCCTGCTTAAGAGTCTCTCTCTCTCCCCCTCTCTCTGCCCCTCCCCTGCTGGCATGCGTGCTCTCTCGTGCCACATTAGTGGCTTGTCTTCTTTGGTGACAGTGCTCAGGGGAAGGAGAGGAGGAGGGTGGGGTTGGTGCTTCTCATTTACAGATTTCCATTACATGCCAGGCAGAGTTCTAGATGCTTCATGTGCATTGCCTCAATGTAATCCCGGGGGGCAGCAAGATCATCCCTATCTTACAGATATGGAAACCGGGTTCCTAGAGATAAGGTGCCTGCCCAAGGCCACACAGCCAGAAAACAACACACTTGGGATTTGAACCCAGATTGTCTGACTCCACAGCTCCTTGAGGACAGAAGCCTGAAATCACCCTGTGGGATTTCCATGGGCCTGGCCTGCAAGCCTGAGGCGTCTTTACTGATAGTAACTGCAGACAATGGCCTTTCAGGGTGGACAGACGTTAAATGAGAAGCACGGATGAAGACATCACCCTAGGTGCACCGGGGGACGTGCTGGGGACTTAACGATGACGGCGCTATGCTCTCTGTGCATGTGTGTTCCCAGTGGTGATGCTGGCCTGTGTCCTCTGAGCACAGCTCTGCCCGGCACTCCTCGGCCTGTGCTGCCCCCTCACCTTGTGCAGTGTGGCCCCAGCACTTGGGAGGTGGAGCCCATTCACCGGACAGTTACAATTTCCCACCTCTTCCTCTCAGATGCTTTCTGAGTAATCCATCATGAAACTGCTTCCAAATCTGCCCAGATTTCGTTCTGGTCTCCCCTCTTTTGACTCCAGCAATTTCCTAGCTGAGGGCAGTGAACTCCTCCAGGATCGGGCCTCCCTGAGCCTCTGCCTCTCCCTGAACATGTCCCGCTGACCCAGAGCCTGGGCTTCTTCCCAGCACGACCCTCTTGCCCCTGGTCATAGACTATTCTAGACTCGATCTCTTTCACAGGTTGCCTCTTTGCTCCGCCCTCAGCCACGGTCAGGAGGCATTGGGCAGGCAAGACTTTCCTTCCCTGAACCCCTTGTAGGGATTCATCCTAGATGCTGAGCTTTCTTGGAATTAGTATTTTGAGTTGAGGGGGTCGTAAGTTTCCCCTACATAAGTCCCTAAAGATGTGTAAAGAGAAAGAAATTTGGAAGGGCAAAGGTCAGAGCAAATCAGGGCAAGGAAAGACTTTGGGATATAACTTAGGGCCGAAACAAGAATTTCTCAGCCAATTCAAGGAACTGTAGTCCCCGCCCCCACTAAATTCCAGTCTTTGAAAGAGCAGAGAGGGAAAATACCATTAATTGAGCACTTCTATGTGTCAGGTGCTATACTCAGTGCATTACTGCAGCCTTGCCAGTTGGGTATTATCATCCCCAATGTACAGATGACAAAACCGAGGCTCAGAGAGGTTGGACAAGTTGCTGTCTGCGGCACAGACTCAGGAAGTGAACCCAGGCCCAAAGCTCGACACTCTTACGGGCCTGTGCTGAACTACCTCTGTGTGTCCCCTCTCTAGGGTCTTCTGAGGGACACATATGTGGGGGTGGGGAGGGGAGGGGTTGAAAGGGAAGGAAAGGAGCACATTGGGGGCATTCATCTATC